TGAACAATAAACTTGTTAAACTTTTCATCAGTCTCCGTGGTTTTCAGCATACTGGGCTTTTCTGAAACCCATCATGACAAAAATAAAAACTTAATTGACACCTGCTCACATTTCTAGAGATGATAAATGCTGTTTGAGTGACCAAGGTGTTATTTTGCTTGAGAGATAGTGTTACTGTCCTAGGCATATAGGCATTTCTTAAACAAACCGGAAATAAATTGCAATTAAGGCTAACAATATTTTAACTTGTGTGTAATGTATATAATTAATGAGCTTCACTAAAAACTTAAAAAGGTGTTGTTTTTTTTTTTTTACAATTTTCTTTTGAACAGCTTATGTATAAGTTAAGATTGTTCTAGACATTTAAACAAAAATTAGTGCTTTTGTAGAAACATAAGAGTATTACAAAAATATTAATATTTTACATGCAACGAATAGAAAAAGTTAATTTAAATAAATATGATTTGGTCCTCTGAAAAGTATTATTCTTAAAGCACAAGACTTCACAACACTTTGCTATGCACATTTTCATCTTTATTAATCTTTTCTCATTTCACCTAAACTTCCCCTATGATTTGAAAATGATTATTAAAAAGTCTGACAGTCTTGTCGTACCCCAGTAGGAGAGTTCTGTAACAGGCCCCCTGATTTTTTTTAATAGACTAAAGTTTTTCAAAGACAATAGAGCCTCTAACGAAACCCATCAACAATAGCAACAACTGGTGTTTACAACAAGATGTAAGTGTATAAAAAAATTAACAAACACACAAACAAACAACAGCATATCTTTTTGTAAACAGATTTTGGATTGTCATAGGTCCCTCCTTAAGGCGATTTTTTTGGAAGATTTTCTATAGTTCCATCTTTCATCTTCTCCCACTTAGTCCTGTCCTGTCTGTCATGATTGGTTTTATATCAAACCCACATGCAGAACACAATGGAGGCTGGGTAAAAGTTTAACAGAGTTTATTTAAGATATTGACACACAAAAACATAAACTGGATCTGGAACAGGTCCGGGTTGGGTTCACTGAAGTCTGCAGAGATGATAGTTTGATTAGCTGGGCAGGCAGATGATTAATGAGTCCTTTTAGATAATTCCAGGCTTCTCTTGTGAGAGAGGGAACCGTTGGGTCCAGAGAGTGTTGGTTCAGCAGAGTACACAAGCAGCTGCAGCGTCTAGCTTCTGACTTTGAATGGCAGACCTTGATCAGAGTTTCCGGCTCTTCACAGAGAGCAGCAGGGGAAATCCAAATAGGAATCTTCAGGTTTGGCTCACCAGGGCTGGAAGGCAGGTTAAGCTCACCCAGAGCTTCAGGC